CGTGGGATCAAGCTCTGTGTCGGGCTTTGTGCTAAGCACGGAGCCTGCTTGAGATTCTCTCTCCCCCATCCCCACCCCCCAAGAAAAATAGCTCCTGGCTTCTCTGTGACACCTGTGTGATCAGTTGAACCTATAGCGCATGTGAAAAACGCCAACCATTTTTTTGCCTGCCATTTTTAAATTAGAAGTTCTCAAACTCACAGGCAGTTTTGTGAAAAAGGGTTAAATGGGGGAAAGAGGTAGGATTAGAGTGGATTTTTCCATGACTCCGTCACCAAGCAAAGCAGAGTGGTGGTGAAGTTGCCTGTGACTAAAGAAAGGCTTTCTGGGCTTCACAACCTGCTCTCAAGGTTAAATGTGATGTGGCAGTGGTGGGTCAGTCAATTTTACTCACTAGCACACTTGACCCTCCCAAATTAAAGTATCGTGTTTTTAAGCAGGTTCACGTTTAAGTAATATACTTTTTGGGAGGTAACTCTTGATCATGAGAAATCCCAAAAAGTGAAGTGGCACAACACTGTCGACCTTGAAACCTTTCCAAAGCCAACACCAGGGACACGGCGGACAAACAGAATCGGACTCGGCACAGAAGGCTGGGGGTAGTTCAAGGACACCACAAGAAACCGCCTTCGATAATGCTGCACTTGTACGTATCAGCTGTGCATTTGAAGCCCACTTTCATCTCTTCTGTACATTGCCCTTGATGAAAAACAGCTGCAAACTTGGATTATCCACGAGGACACAAGGACATAAGTTGAAGGCCTGACGATACCAGCACATCTTAATGTAATCAAAATCAGAGTTTATAAATACATCTAGGCAGAATTGAGGGGAAGACACTACTCTCGCACCTCGGGGCTGTGGAGGTCCCCCTGAGGGCGATTCTTCCCTTGCTGCCACCCGAAGCAGAGGTGGGGCGGTTTTCTGGAGGCCACAGCATCAGGGAGGTCAATTCTGCTGAGACACATCCACAACCAGACTTCTTTCCCTCCCGTCTGAGTCCCAGCTCCATCCAAACATTCCGTCTAGCTTGGTGGACCTCCTTAACTATTTTATTTCAATCACCCTGGAAACTGTAAAAAGAAAAAG